CAGATACACACCAGAGAGCAGAGAGGGCGGGACAAGCGAGTCAGAGCAAGGACCATGAGGACAGGCTAGTTTTGATTAGTGAATCTTTGAACACTCAGAGGGACACTTGATAACTGCTGTAAAGAAGCAAAAAAAAGGACTCAATTAAAATGGGTTTTTATATGTTTTTCTTTCAAACAAGTTTCAGGATCGGGTACCTAAGACAAAGAAATCATGCCAAATAGAAGCAATCTGCTTCGTGACCATTCAAGAATATGCATTGCCAAATATGACTACATGTTCTTCTGATTTCATGGAAAAACCGAATAAAGAATTTAAACTTTTACAAGGAGACTAAAGAGGGCGATTTCTAATACTAGGCTAGTTTCAGCTCCAAGACAGCCCACCTGTTAATATTACTGTATTTGTTATTACTCTGATAACGTTACAACGGTTTCAATACGACATCTAAATTTGGAAAGCACGATTTTCAGTCTCACTACTCTTTGGAAATACAGTGTATCCATGGATGTCAAGGCTGGTACTACGAAAATATCCTTGGTGATGACGAATTTACATTTCATACAACATGAATTTTGTTCTTACCATTGGGTGCATTTATTTTCGATCACAGGCGAATTTACTTTCCGGAAAGACTGTATATCCAGCATTCATGCTTTACTTTAAGAGCAAATATTTGGATAACGATAGATTCATAAAGTGAATATGAGTCTATCAGTCTGTTGTATTTGGGTTTTCTGAATAGGTTTAAACAAAGTAGAAAATACGATGAGACTGTGTTGTATCTTTATTCAGAATAAAGTGAAAGGAAAAGAGATGATAGCATAGTCTATAGTTATATATTAAGAAGCTGAGGTTGTAATAACCTTACTATCAAAATTAGAAATAAAAACACACAAGAAATACTTTGAGACACTTTTATTCACTTAAATAGATAATAAGATAAAAAGAATTATTCTTTTTTAGAACAAAGAATTGAAGTCGCTTTAAATACTTGTTGTATCTGATCGATGCATGAGAACTAAGACGAAATGGTGAGGGCTTCAGTTTCCTTTCTGATACAAGTTACAATTCTTGACCCTTGTTACTGATAAGACCCTAGTGAGGGACAGAGAAAAGATTGCATGAATGAACATTTGTGAGCTATCAAAGCCTTATGAAGATCGTGTCATTCCTTATTGCGTAATTCAATACCGCATCATAGATAAGCCTTGTTTGGATGAGCGTGCTGTCTCAGTTTTACTGCATAACTTCTCATATATTATGTCTTGCTTGCAACAGAGGTATTTAAACTGAGTTGACTATATTTGATTAAGGTGTAGCAGATCTTATAGCAACATTAGGTTCAACTCTAGATATTGTATTTAAGCTGAATAGTAACGTGGATACTACACAGTCAACATGGGAACAAATAACTACGGTGAAAGCTGGCACAACCAGCTCAAGATTAGTTATTTGCAAAAAATAAGAAATAAAAAAGTGGCCAGACTGGTGTATATTTTAGTCAATGATGTTGAAGAAGGCTTTCTGAGTCACATAGAGCGAATCGGAATGAATATTGGAAGAATGGGACCTGAAGCAGGAAAAGCAAGAAGAAGAGAGCTTGAAGCTGAAGAGGTCAGTGTCCATGTGGCGATGAACACGATTTCTGAGGTGGAAGGAGGTATCTTGTAAAATGTTTAGTCGTTCAACAACGCAAAGGAATCATATGAAGCACGTGTTGAAAATAATACGACAAAGGATTGTAGTTACCTAGAGTTTCGATACCAAAACAGGGCTTGCAAGCACATGTTTTTTCTGACGCGTTGTGCTGAATATAATGTTTGGAGAGGTGAGAAATATAAATGCCGTAAAAACGAAACTCTAACTCTTTTTCCTTTTAAAGGTTCAGTTATACTGAAACAGCAAGCAATGAAGGATCGCAACCTGAAATTGAAGATGAGCTACAAAAAGAACATGTAGATAGTTGAAAAGCTGCAGATGCTGAAAGAGGTTGTAGAGATGTTATGGCCTGAAGAAATTGGCAATTCGTGGAAGCTTCAAGTAGAGCAGTTTATAGGAAAGTTGTATTAAAAAGCAAACATGAAGAACAGCTGTCATCGAACAATCATTTAGAAAGATAAAGATATATAAAAAAAAATAGTATTTTATGGGGCACTTACGTAAAACATATTTTCACCAATCAAACGCCACCAAAGAAAGGAAGAACGTACTTCCGTGATTACGTGAATGTCATGTGATTAATTTTAATTCTTGATAAAAGATTAGCACTTAACAAAAAAACCAAGGCGGGTATAGCTCAGCTGGGAGAGCGTTAGACTGAAGATCTAAAGGTCGGGTGTTCGATCCACCCTAGCCGCATAGCATATGACGCTTCCCCCTAATTAAAGGGTAATTTGAAGCACCGTATAATTTTATTCTGCTGTAACAATAGCGGAGTTGAAACGTTTGTGTCGCTTTTAATATTGTAGCACAGTTTTCAAAAAAAAAAAACTCTAATTTCTTTTTATCGTGTTGATACTGTAGCACTAATAACCATTGATACCCTTTTTGGTATCTTATACTCTGCATGTCCAATGCAAGTTTTAATGATTTATGATTTATGATTTATCATATATCATATATCATATTGTAACTACTATTTTTGGGAATTTGTTTCAGAAGACGACATTGTTGAAGGACCAAGTTGTCAAAGGACGAAGTCATCCCAAATAGGAAACCAACAAAAAAATAATATAGTATAAATAACATTATCCTCTACAGTAATAAACCTACACTTTTAGCATCACATTTACTTTTATTTTTATTATCACTTTTATTCTTACAATAAATTCTTATTGTACCTCTTATATAACTCTTTATTGATTCATAAAAG